GTCAGGAGCACGGCCCGCCCCGCCCGAAATATGGCAACGGCCAGAGTAGAACGGGGAGGGAGCATGGGGTAGATAAGCGGGTGCCCGCGACCAGGGCGAAGCAGGCCGAGGCGAGGGTAGGGTTTTTATTTTAGGTTTATTCCACGGAACAATATAATGGCGGCGGCTGCTTGTCGTTTTATTCTGGACCGCGCCGCGCACACCGGCCAAGCCGAGATATTTAAAAGTAAACAGAGAACGAAGAGGGAAATATATTTATTTTTCGTGGGAAAAAAAGTGGTGGACGTGCTGGGGCCTCGCGTATGCTCTCACAGCGTGCGGTACATGTACTGGTGGTTGCCGCCGTGGAGGCCGAGGCCGTAGTTGCCGAGGCCGTGGTTGGAGCCCATGCTCATGCCGGCGGGCAGCAGCTCGAAGTCCTCGTCGCGGGGTGGGGCTCCGCGCCAGCGGGGCGGGCCGTGGCGCCGGGCCGCGTCCCAGGGGTAGTGCCGCAGCTCGTCGTGCGCCAGCGAGTACGACGGCGAGGAGGCCGCCGCCTGGTCCGCGGTCGCCGGGCCGCGCAGGCGGTAGACGGCCACGTACTCGGGCGGCGAGAGCCCGCCCCAGCGCTTCAGCATCAGGCTGGCGGGCGCGTGGCGGGCGCGCGGGTACGACCAGTCCAGGGCGTACAGCGAGTGGTCGCTGGCCGTCGAGTGGAAGATCTGCGCGCCGGCCGGGTAGGTCGGGGATGGTGTTAGGGGGGTCATGCAGGCAATGTGCGACGAGGATACACGAAACAAAAAGATTAGCTACACAGCGAATAGCTAATCTTCCTTTGCCGTGTAATAAAGAAATGGTCGCGCCTTACCTGCGAGTCGGGGCGGTCCGGCTGCGGCTGCTTGGCCACCCCGTGCGGCTCGAGTTCCAGGACGCCGCCGTCCGTCTTCTGGAGGCCGCGCTGATGGAGGCCGCCGTCCTGCTGATGGAGGCCACGCTGGTAGAGGACGCCGTCCTGTTGTTGGAGGCCGCGCTGGTAGAGGCCGCCGTCCTGCTGCTGGAGGCCGCCGTCCTGCTGGTGTGGGCCGTGCTCGCCCTGCCCCGGCGGAACCTCCCCTTGTTCGCCAGGGGCGCCCGACGCGCCCGCTCCGGGCCCTGCGCCCGCTCCCTGCTGGCCGAACAGCCTGCTCTGGAACGGCGTGCGGGTCGTGGCCGCGGACGCGTTCTCCTTGTCGTCCTGCGGGAAAGTCGGGCGGCCGAACGCCGCGGCGCCCTGCGGCTGGCGGAATCCTGGCAGCTGCGACTGCTGGTGTTGTTGCAACGGGCTGCCCTGTCGGAGTCCGGAGAGCGGATCTGCCTGATGAGGCTGTTGTTGCTGCTGCTGCTGGAAGCCCAGGCCAGGGAGCTGGTCTTGCTGTTGGCGGTAGCCATTCAGACCGTTCGGTTGTTGGGAGGGCTGCTGCTGCTGTGGTTGTTGCGACTGAAAGGGCTGCTGGAACTGGAGGGGTTGCTGCTGCTGCTGTGGCTGCTGCTGCGCCTGCGGCTGTCCCCCCCAGTACTGGGATGCACCGGGGAAGTTTTGCCCGCTGACGCACCCCCACAGCGCCAGGGCGAATAAGAGCATCATCTGGGGATCAATGAGCAACAGGAAACAGGATGGTCAGCGCCGAAGCAATAGTGTATTTCGACTAACGGAGGAAGAAGAACAGCGGGTAGAACATGAACGTTACCGATTGGTCGAGAGCTTCCCGCCTCTACGTAACGTCGGTAGAAGGGGTAGGCACTCGGCCAATCAGGAACCTTTATGTTCTACCCGCTATTCTTCTTCCTCCGTTAGTCGAAATACACTATTAGGGGAGTTCGTTATTGTCGGGGAGGCAGGCGTGGGGAGTGTGGAGGGGCGAGGAGAACGGGGTAGGGCGGCTTATGGGGAAGTTGCCCGATAAGAGGAACAAGAAGGAGGTAGCACTGAGGGTGGCGTGGCGTAGCGCCGTCCATACAAAAGCAGAAGATGAGCGACAGTCTAGCAGAGGTTAGGATGCGTGTCGTTAGATTTCAAACAGTTTAGAACGGGCCTATGCATCTAGCACGTTATATACCAAAGTTTATTACGACAGTTAAGTCAGTATCATTGAGTTGAAATAGTACCAATGCAATATGTCCGTACACTAACCTACACAACGACACCGGGACGGTTTAAAAGATTGTATAAACTTACTTTTCCGACGCCAAACTTCACAGAATCACTTTACGACTCAAGATTGTTACGTCGGTCTAGTATGGACCCAAGTTTTCTTGAAAAATTCTACAAAACTTGATTTAGGATCACACATCCACTTGCGACAAAAGAACACAGCATGGTCGCCACCTCCTCAGTGCTACCTTCTTTTTGTTCCTCTTATCGGGCAACTTCCTCATTCCGCTTCCGGTGCCGAGAAAGGGCTTGTTGGTTTGAGGTTATGTTCCATCGTAAACTTGGCTCTCAGACGTACGATTCTACTCATATCACACCGGATCAGACCGCGTCTCGCTCCACGACCTCGGCGCTGGTCATTCATTCTATCTACGTTAAACTCGAGTCAACAAACAACAAACTAAAACGAAACAACTCTGCTCCCTCTTACCTTTGGTGGTGTTGAGGCGTCCATGGTGGCCGCTTCACTTCTGGTCGGGTCCCGCGTCGACTTGGCGGCGACGCTCGCGCACCTGGCCAAACACGTACGTCACCCGGGGCTTCTGAGGACGCGCGCAGTAAGCGCTGTCGTCGCCCCATCTACAACGTGGGCTCGACCATAATCGTAAGAATAAGAAATAAAGACGATGGTTTTAGGAATTTAGACAGGCTCAGCCATATGTGTTGTCTGCGAGGGGGCAATAACTCCGGGAATCATGTGTACATCTGCCTGGGAATCATCAGGATGAAAGTTAATCGAAATCAACAGAAATCGTTTAAACTAAGTGGGAAACCAATGAAACTGATACAAATTAGTCGAAACAAGCGTTTTTCTACCACTAGAAAACCTAAGGAATGAATATAAGTGGACGGGAATCACAGGGAATCACTGGGAATCAAGTATTTCGGGAATCATGTGTACACACCAAAAGGGAGTTATTGCCCCCTCGGTTGTCTGTAAAGTAGATTGTAGGAGAGCCCCCCCCCCGCCATTCTGACTTATGATACGCCTTCCTACCCTACCCTACCCCCATCCCTATTTTTTGACGACAGCCGGCAGTGTGTACTTTGCAGCGACAAGTACGCGAGTGCATCACGGCCACCTGTACGGCAGTAGGAAAATACAAACAGGTTATGTGTCAATGTCATCGCTTAACGACTGTTGAATTTCGTTTCTAGTAGTTTATTAGTTTTGTGAAAGAAAACAACTTTTAACAAAATGAATGTTTGAATGCGAAAATAACGCGTTGATCACGTTTCAACGATCACTTTGAGAGTCCCCTCCCGGCTAGAAGACGTTCTCCACGGCCTCCATGGCGAAGCGGGGGTGGGCCAGCCCCGCCTGGAGCCCCGAGTTGAGGCCCACGCGGCCCGTGTTCAGGAGGGACGACGCGAAGGCCCTCGCGGCCGACGCCTTGGTGTTCCACTTGTTGGCGAGGGCCGAGGACACGCCCTGGACCGTGTTGGCGAAGCCGAAGCCGAGGCGCCTGATGAGGCCACCGATGATACTAGGGCGGTTGCCGAACAGACCGCCGCCGTTGCTGCCGAACACGCCGCCGCCGCTGTCGCCGCCGAACACACTGTTGGTGTCGCCGTTGTTGCCGTTGGTGTTGCCCCACGCGTTGCGCGTCGCGTACCCCTGGTCGTCGGCGGCCGTGCCGTAGCTGGGGCGGTACCCGTTACTCCCGCTGCTCGTCTGACGCGCCGAGGAGGGGTTGCCGTTGTTGCTGCTGCTGCTTGTGCGCGTCCGGGTGCGGCCTGTACAGAGCGGAAGTTTCGTCATAACAACCGGCTACATTTTTACACCATTGGAAGACAACAACCTCTTGGGAACCTGCCTTGCTGAGGTGAGGACCAGGAGGAGGTGCCTTGCTGGTTCCGGTTGTTGTTGTTATTGCTGCTGGCGACGGCCCTCCTGGCGGCGTCCTCCTCCTCGGAGTTCGCCGGCATCCAGCCCCTGCACGTCCAAACAACAAACGCGTCATCGTGACAACGTCATCGCTGCGCTTCGCAACTTTCATAGCGCTGAGGACGCGGTTAGTATGAGAAACTTCGCCCAGACCTATTGACGGCGTTCTGGTAGCGGGTGACGGCCTGCTGCGCGCGAGCCGCCCAGTCGTCCTCGTCCACGGAAGAGTCCTGGTCGTACCGCGTCGTCTGCCGTCTAGCTCGGAGGGTGGGAGGGTCGGCGATGAGCTCTGCTCCCGGGGAGGCCAGCGCCGCAGCGTCCGCGGAGGCGATCACCTTTAGTGATTGGGGGATCGGAATAGTCGTGGTGTTACGGCCTTTCAGCGTGTGACCTACTCGATGCACGGCGCGCATTCGTGTTCTACTCAAAATGAATTGGAGGGGGGCGGTAGCCGTTTGCCTCTCCTCACTCTCTGGGCTGTTGCAAAGGCGGGGTGGCCGGACGGAAAGGGGTGTGGGACGGGTGGGGGGGGGGGTCAGTCAGATGGTAATTTAGTACAAGAAACTCTCATGCCGTAATAGTCGAGCCCCCAAACTTTTCAACTAATTAAACATTTTCTTTCCGAATGAATTAGCCGCGGACGGGGTTGGTGATGGTGGTTGTGGTGGTGGTGGTTGTATGCCTGCAGCGTCGGGCAGTACTTACCAGGGCGGCGAGGGCCGCGCAGCCCGCGAGGGGAAACATGAGAAGGGAACTTGCAGCCATTCCGCGCAGGTGTTTGGGCTCGACTAGAGAGTTGGACTTCGTCAAACAAGCGCGCGCTCGCCGCGCACCACCCGGCCGACCCCGACCAGCTCCGAGAGGTGACGAGCCGCGACTGCTCGCTCGCGGGTTTCGGATAATAGCACGGGTGGCGGACCCTTTACTACTAATAGGGCTGTTTCCTCTTTCTTAAAAAACGTTTACAAAAGGGAGACGAACAACACAAAATTAATGTGGTACCCCAGGGAAAAGACTAGATTTAAATTATTGCCCGTATTGTGGTGGGATCATCCAGTTTCGAAAGTGAAAAGTTCAGTCAGTTTTTCAGTTTTTAAAATGGTTTTATTGAAGTCTAGTTAAGTTCAGTCAATGCAAGGCCACATAGCGCCCGATGGGTAGGCAACAGTTTGCCTACAGTGCATGCGTGTACTGCGGGGTGGCCTACCCCGAGGCTCGCAGGCGCCGAGCTCTGGTTGTTTTGCCGAATGATCCAATAAATGCGAGAAACGGCTGTAAACTTCCTTCATGATATCCAAAAATAATTGGCGGTAGCAGAGCATTTACACAAAGTTGATCTACAATGGCCAGGTAACTATTTTTCCCGCCGTTGTTTTGGTACAGTCTCGTTCGTATCGGTGACTTTCCCGACCGAGTATAGGCAACCCACCCGCCCAGACCGACTAGTTTCTTCCACTTTCCCACATTTTCTTTGAAAATAACACTACTTCGCCGCTTTCCGTCGTAAGGCTCGGATATGAGACTGACAACACGTGAATAATCATTCAAGGCCAAGTAAAGGGCTGGACCGGAGTGCGAGATAGCGCGTTCAATTCAAAGTACTGCGGCGAGGCCCCGCGGACTTGAGCGGATAAGGAGGGGGTGCAGGAGGTGTGGGGG